ATAACTAACGGAATTGCGAAGATGTGTCTATATGTTCGTATTTTTATATTTTTATTTTATTTTAATTTATTAAAATTTAATTATATATTAATTTTTAAATATAAGTATTTATTCTTAAAATTATGAATTGTTATAGATAAAATTTAAAAAAATAAGAAACCTGAAGAAAACATGTAATTAAGAAAATTTATGATTAAAAGAAAAAAAAACATTATATAAATATAAATTATATTTTTTTCTCTGATTGGATAGGAAAGCGGTTAAAAAAATCTTTTATATCTAATTATCGATAATAAATAATTAGAAGAATAATATTAAAATAATAAAGACAATTCATAATAATAAATGAATGTATTTAATTTTTTATTTTAATTTTTTTTAATTAATTCAAATAAATTTATTTTTTACTATGAAAAATTGAACGGTTTAGGTTATTCTTACTTTAAGAAATCCTATTAAAAGGTGGGGATGTGTAATATAATCCCCATCCCTAATTTTGTATTTAAACCTAAATTCTAAAACAATAATCCTTTGTCTCTTTGTCTATCTGTCTTCTAATCTTTTCGTTTTTTTATATTTAAATTTATATCTTGAAATATAACCTTCTATCTTTTCTTATTACTCTTTCTCTTTTCATATTATCATTTGTCTTTTTATATTACCCTTTGTCTTCTTATATAGTGTGTTCTTTCACTCTACTCTACTTTCATCTACTTCTATCTATTCTTAATTTCTTTGTTTTTTTCAATCTTTTCACAATTAGTCTTACTTCAATACATATTTTTCTTTCTCTCATCTTTTGTTGCTTCACCTTTCCTTAAATTTTTCAATTAGTTTGACTTCTCATATCTTTTTAACTAGTTGGCTTCTAAAAACGACTTCTCCGATATCTTCAACGAGTTTGTTGAACGCATAAGGTAATTTTTTGTTTATTTATCTTTTTCTAAATATGTGCATCAATCTTAATATAATTTAATTTATAATTTGTTTTCATTAGGATTCTCTTATATAATGTTTTATGAGTTTTACAATTCTTATTTACCATATATCAAATTTTATGTTAATTAAATAATTATATTTTTTTATCTTTTATGACCAACATAAATCTCATTTAAAAGAAAAAAAAACAAAAAACAAGATGAAAACATGATAGAAAAGAAAACACATTTAGGCAATAATAGCACATATCTTGTTTATCATGGTATGAATTTTTTTTTATATATATATAATGGAAAATAATGAAGCAACACAAGTAATAAGGGATAACGAGCATGATGAGACTACACTAGGCATAACAATAGGGCAAAGATGGGTTTTTCCTTTCCGCCCGCACCACATCCCCGACTTTTTAACGGTCCTTGTCTTCGCCCTCCGATTCTCGTCAGGATTAGAAATTAAGTCTCATCCTCGTTCCTATTGGGTTTTGGGTTTGCCCGACCGACCCGTTGTTGTTCTCGTGATATTTTTTAAAGTAATTATATATAAATTATAATAAATTAATTTTAATATTAATATTTTTTACATTTTATTTCTTATAAAAAATAAATATAATTTTATAACTTTTATATTATTATTGTTGGTTAAGTGCATATTTTAAATTATTATATTTATATTGAAATATTTATCTAAAAAAAATTATAGTTGATCATTCTTTTTTCTTCTTATTATAAACTACTAATCCTTTAAAAATATTAATTCTTAAAAAAATAAAAATAGTTTCAACTAATAATCCTTTTAAAACAATTATGAAATACATATTTAAAAAACACTAGTAAATAAGTAAACAAAGTTTCTCATAAAAAAAAATAAGAAACTGTACATAATAATGCATATAAGAAAATTATAAAATCTACTAATAATTAGGGAAACAGAGATCAGTTGAAAAAATATTAAAAATTTACCAATATTAATTTTTTTCTTCACAATTTAAACTACCACTCCTTCAAAAGACATACTACATATAAAAAAGTTCTGAATAACAAATATTATTATCTAATAATCATCTTTCAAATAAGCATCAATTCACCTACATAATTAAAATAAGATATATTGTTGAAAAAATATATTGAAAAATAAATAACAATATTATTTGAATAAGTAAAATAATACCTTCATCACCAGAATCCATCTTATTGAATAAAGTAGTATAGTAATTAACTAATTGAGAATTCACACCACCTAAAGATAAAATATAAATAAAATACTTGTTAAAATCTAAAAATATAGTTATTAAATATATTTAAAAAGGTATATAAAATATTATCACTATTTTCAGTACTTCATAACCAACTTCTAACACATTTCAAAGCCTATAGAGTAGTCCAATGAAATCGACTTCGATGAGGGTTTAATATTTGACCACTAGTACTAAATGCAAATTCAGAAGCTACAGTAGAGATAGAGATAACTAATACATTCTTAACAATTGCTTGAAGTGTGGGGTATTTGGTTCCATTCAAATTCCACCACATTAGAATATCAAAATTAAATTTTCTTAGTAAAACCTCTTCCTCTAAATAATGGTCTAACTCTGTTTTAACATATGTACTTCTTGCCTTTTTTTCCCCTCAAAATATACTTGTTATACTCAACTATTAATTGAGTATGATAGGTATAAACCGAGCATTAAAAATATATTTTGAGAAAAAAAGAAGACAAGAAGTACATATGCTAAAACAAAGTATGACCATTGTTTAGAGGAAGAGGTTTTACCAAAAAAAATTGATTTTGATATTATAATGTGATAGAAGTTGAATGTAGTCAAATACTCAACACTTCAAAAGATGTATTAACTATCCCTATCTTCACTTTAACTTTTCATTTAGTACTAGTGGTCAAATATTAAACTCTCATCGCAATTGACTTCGTTGGACTACTCTAGACACTTTGAAGTGTGTAAGGAGTTGGTTATGAGTGCTAAAAATAGTGATAATATTTTATATATCCTTTTAAATATATATTTAATGATTGTATTTTTAGATTTTTAATAAGTATTCTCTTTATATTTTATCTTTAGGTAGTGTGAATTCTTAACTAATTGATGATTATGTTGCTTTATTTAATGAGATGGATTATGGTGATTAAGGTATTATTTTACTTATTCAAAGAATATTACTATTTATTTTTCAATAATATATCTTATTTTAAATTATGTAGGTGAATCGATGAAAAATGACATGCTCATTTGAAAAAGGATTATTAGATTATCCAATATTTCATATTCAAAACTTTTATTTTTTTTTATAGTATGTATTTTTGAAGGATTAGTAGTTTAAATCGTGAATAAAAAAGTTTATATTAGTAAAATTTTAATATTTCTCCAATTAATTTATTTTCCTTAATTATTAATAGATTTTGTAATTTTCTTATATGTATGGTTATGTACATTTATATGTATTATTATGCAATTTGTTTATATTTTTTTATGAGAAATTTTATTTACTTATTTATTAATATTTTTAAATATTTATTTTAAAAGAATTATTAATTGAAATTTATTTTTATTATATTTTTTTAAGGCTTAATAATTTTAAAGGATGGATAGTTTATAATAAAAAAATGATTAAATATTTTTTTTATACATAAATATTTTAATATACATATAATAATTTAATAATTTAAAATATATACTTGGTCAATAATAATAATCTAAAAATTATAAAATTATATTTATTTTTATTGAAATAAAATGTAAAAAAGAATAATATTAAAATTAATTTATTATAATTTATATAATTACTCTAAAAAGACAAATCATAGAACGAGGGTGTATCCGATACCGAAAAACCCAAAATTCATGAGGATTTAATTTCTAATATCAACTAGAATCAGATACGCGGACAATTAGAAAAAGTTGGAACGGTCCGTTGCCATGCCTCCATCCAAAGAAAGTAAAGAGTAAGAAAACTTAAACGGTGACCAGGATTCATAAGTTGCTTTCAAGATGCTGGAAATTCAGGTCCTCCAATAATTACTCAAATTTAAGCCAAAAGATGTTGTGGTTGGTTTTCCTTTTCTTTACAATTGATCTTGTACCCCCATTAATACTTCTCATTATTAAGACAAAGACGTTGATTCAAGTGAAATAAGATAAGGAATGGTTTTTGATAATTTGCATATTCAAAATTTCATCCATATTTGTAAATAAGATAAAATAAACACTTAGAAAGTAACTTTAATCTAAAGACTTACTTTACTTTAAATTCTGACTTTATCTATTTTATAATTTAAATTTAGGTTAATTCAATAATATGATAAAAGGATATATCTTTGCTCATATATTATTTTACGATTAGATAATGAGATTTGATTTTTCTTAATAATTTCAACTTTTGAACAATTTCAGTAACTCTTAAAATTTATTTTTATTTATATATTGATTATAATTCAATTATATTTTTAGTTTATGTGGGATATTTAATATATTTATTACAATATTAAAAATGTATTGTTTTTTTTTCTGCTTTGACAGAGAGTTTGAGGGTTTTTTAATTTTTTTATATCTACATTATAATTTGTGTAGTTTTACTTTAATATATTTTTTTTAAGTGTAATAATAATAATAATAATTTATAATTAGGAACATTCATCAAAAGTTACTTTTGATAGAATTTTAAAATTTAAATTTGAACCTATCTCATTAATATAAAATGGACTATGCAACGACATATTGAGTGCATGCACGTTTTATTTGGCGCCGGGAGCGGAAGGAATTAATGGTTGTTGAATTGTTAAATACTCAAAAATAGATTCACAAAATTTGCCTCCAATCTTGGAATTCAAGTTTGACACATCACTGTAAAGTAGCTGTAACCCCAAAGATAGGTCAAATCAAATCTCAATAGTACCACAACTTCCCAATATATTTATGATTTATCAACTATTTTCGTAAATTGAATAATGGGGCAATCTTCAACTAGTTGGAGTAATTTCTAGCTAGGCCAATTTTGAATCAAAACTCTATAAAAGGAGTGGTTGCATGCACCAAATAACTAAGAAAAATGGTGTCTAAAGTGGAGGAAGCAAAGAAGAAGAATAGGGTGCTGCAGCAGTGGCACAAAGAGATTGAATGCAACAAAGGGAAAATGGGGAAGTTCAAGAGAAGCAGCTCCAAGATGGAGGAAGATGGTGCTTCTTCTGCCATTCTCTTGCTTGCTTGCATAGCTTTTTGTACTTTCCAACCCTCTAATCATTCATGTCCTTGTTAATTATTATTTTTAGTGAATCTCTTTTCTTCTTTCTTATGTATATTATCATATCTTACCCATTACTATTATTGAAAAAAAATCATTATGTTAGATGTGATAAAAAATCTTATCGAATTATAAGATATGAAATTTTACGAGATTTAAATAGAGGGTCGTAGCCAATTTAAGAAAAATTCAAGAGACCAAAACAGCATCCAATCCAAGCCAAATTATTCAATGCATAATTTAACATTTTTCAACTCAACTATCAAAATAAAGCTTGTTTGTCATGGAAAAATATATATTGCACAAGTACATTCTAGAAAGAATTTGATTCCTATCAAAATTATTGTATCAGTTCGATCATAATTTTAATTCTCTCAAATTTAGTAATTGATATTCATTTTCACATTCTTGAAAAACTAGCAATCCAACTCAAACCACCCAACTAAAAACCCATTCAAAGCAAACAACTTAAGGAGTATTTATTCTTAATTTAGTTTTAAAATGCATTACGTTTTTGACATGGTAGAATTTAAAATAAAAACATCTTTTTTTTTCACTCACTTTAAGGCAAATTTACTTGTAAGGAACTTTTTACTTGCTTCTTCACAATGCTTATCCTTGCTACAACTGCAACAAGAGTTTTTAAATATTGAACTCCAATATATGTTTCGATGACGATTGTTGTGGGTGTGCCATTTTTTGTGGTTTATTAAAAACATATAAATATCAGGTCACATGAATGAGTTTGGACCACATGAAATCTCAACCTAAGTACAAGAAAGAGTACCTCAATTTGGTAGATTACTTCAAGTCATTCACCAAGAAATGACTTCTAGTTGGTGATTAATTATATTCTATAAATTTGTATATATTTATTATAAACTTATACACATTTATTACAAAACTAATAGTAGATAAAGGTTGAAGATACAGTGTGATAGTTGAATAGAAATAAAAAAAATTATGTAATTTATGGATGAAAAGTAGTTATAATATAAATTTGTTAGGTTTTAGATTAATAATGTTGTTATATTTTTTTATATAGTTTGTTTGTGTTACATTTATTATGAATTTCTCAGTTGTTAATTCTCTTTGCAAATATCTAGTGGTATTAAAATTAATAATTTTGTAATAAACGACACATTTGAATATATCAAAGTAGGTGACAAATGTGACATATGTTTTTTTTTATTATTATAATAATATTGTTGTGCAAGAAAATTTCAGTAACGAAGTTTTCCTCATGCACGATAAAATTCTTCTTATATATGTGCATACTGAAACGGAGGAGGAGGTATAATCTAAATTTTCCTCTCGTCTTTCTTCTTTTGTCTAAATTTCAAGCAACGATACTCTGCTCGTGCAGGATCTGGTGAAACGGGAGAGAGTTTGAATTAAGTAGGAAAACGTTGGTAGAAATACCAAACCAAGTAAGGGGAAATTTAATTCATTGAATATATGAAATTGAATTGCTGGGTACCCTGTGAATAAGGAATAGGAGTAGAGATATGAATTATTTGAATGTCTGATTTTGAAGAATTTCTGATTCTGATGAACTATTCGCCGTTTGTAAGTTTTTGAAATTCTTAAAATTAAGGACGAATTATATGGTAAAATTGTTGTTTTCCACTTAAATTAGATATAATTCATGTTTAATTTGAATTTGGGACTAGTTTGGTTGTCTAAAACTGAGTAATTTGAAATCTGTCAAAATCTGCAAAATTTGATACTGTTACTGGTGCGAGGAAGAAGAAAGGGACATGGAAGGAATTTTTGAAAATGTTCAAGGGTAAAATAGTCATTTTACATCCTAGGAACATAAATGGAATTTTTGAAAATGTCCAAGGGCAAAATAGTCATTTTTGGGACATGAAAGGAATTTTAAAAAATGTCGAAGGGTAAAATAGTCATTTAGGGACATACATGAAATTTTCGGAAAAGATTAAGGGCAAAATAGTAATTTAATGATTTCGAAAAAGATTTCGAAAAAGATTTTGGAAATAATTTCAAAAAAAGAAAAAGAAGAATATATATATATATATATATATATATATATATATATATATATATATATATATATATATATATATATAGAATGAATGTAACAGTTTTAAAGATTCAGTAGTGTGTTGTGACGTGTGTAGGTCAGACTGAGTCTAAGGGCTAATGTCGATAATCAGTCATGAGATGTTATGTATTGGTTAGACTGAGCCGGAGGGATGGTGCCCAGAATCAATTACGTACTATTATTTATTGACTTGAATGAGCCGTGAGGACAGGTGGTCCAGAATTCGGCAAATGTGAATGATTTTTGTTATGTTACCTATGTTGGTACAAAGTACATTAGTGTAATAACTATGTCGGATGATTCTGAATGAGGTCCCAGACTTCACTGATTAGTCGAGTCAGGTAGACTACGAGATCAGATTGTGAGAAGTCGATGGATGGATGACTGGTGGCGCACTCAGAGGGGTACTCTAGTATGAGTGATGAAGGGCGCCAATAATCCTACTCTGTGTGGAGGGTGGTCAGAATGGTACTGCGGGTGCCGATCACAATGTGCCCACAGATGATAGCCTCTGAGTTCGGGCATAGTTAGAGTATACTTCCGGAAGGTGTCTTAGTGTGTTGATGATTTTGTAATTGATCATAATATATAATTATTACTTTTATATCTGTTTTATTATATCGAATGATTTAATACTTACCCCTATTTTTCCATGTGGATGGGATTGCGATGATCACTTTTATGTGGGAGCAGATCAGGAGTTGAGAGATGAAGATGTGACTACTAGACAACAGGGATAATTCAGTGGGCTAGCTTCGAGGGAACTACTTTTACATGTATAATATATAAATAAATTATGTTATTATATTTTGAGGTTCCGTTAGTGAACCAGAATTTCAATCTATGTTACAATTATAGTAATATAATGTAAGATAGATATCGTTATTTACTTGTTTACTATTTTGCGAAGACATCATTATAGTAGCGATTTCTAGAGTCATTACAATAGTGGTATCAGAGCGGTAGTATCCTTGTAAATCTGTGGGGATGGGTAATGACCCTATGATAAGTCCATTATGATTATACTCTGATATGTGAGTATGTGTGAATGGTTGCTCTGTATTGATGGTTGCGTTTGATATAAGATGATACCGCGACCTCCTACTCCTATTCCACCGAGTGTAGATGCCCTAGCCAGGGCAATGGAAATGTTGGCAGCTGCCATGTAGCAGCAGACTACCTACCTGCAGTGGAGGCCAACTATGGCATCATCCTCTGCTGGATTCCACCAATCAGAGCAGATGGGGCTGACTGAGTTCATGAGGCATAATCCGCCTCGTTTTTGAGAAGATTTGGGTCTAGATGCAGCAGAGAAGTGGTTGTGTGAAGTGGAGAAGATTTTTGAGGCTACCTTATGCCTGAAAGACAGGATGATGATTGCACGTGGGGAGGTATGTATTTGGGAAACCTTCCGTGAGAGATTTCTAGATAAATACTTCCCTGACAGTGTTAGATTTCAGAAGGAGACTGAGTTCCTGAGTCTGAGGAAGGGTAATATGACGGTGCATGATTACACCATACGATTTGAGCACTTATCTCGTTTCTACACAAGTACATCTTTAGAACAGTGGCTTTGCAGGAAGTTTGAGGAGGACTTGAGGGTTGAGATCAAGCTCATGGTGGTTCCTTTCTCTATCAGGAGATTCCCAAAGCTGGTGGAGAAAGCGAAGACAATAGAGAGACACTAGGAGGGAGGAGTCAAAGTGATGAGGACCCACCCAAGTGAGGTCCTGAGTGGGAGTAGTAGATCAGAGAAGAGGATGTCTTATTCATGCTCGCAGTCTTTCAGGAGTGTCAGTGTTACCCCAACACCTCAATCATCGGGATTTGTATCCAGGGTGAAATGTTTTCAATGTGGAGGCCCTCATTACAGGAATCAGTGCCCAGATAATGCCTTCACTACTCCTTCCCAGACTTCTCGAGCAGGTCTTTGCTACACTTGCCAGAAGCCAGAACATATGGCTCGAGACTGTCCATAGAAGCCCAATGCTATAGTCTCAGCTGGGCATCATTAGCACCTAGGGGGAGTGACGCAAAACCCAGAGCTGCAGGACGAGTGTTTGCCTTGTTAGGAGCAGAGGCATCAAGGTCAGAGAATTTAGTACAAGGTGTGTGTTTTATCTCTGATATACCTCTACGAGTTTTGTTTGATTCAGGTGTTACCCATTCTTTTATTGCTGATAATTGTATGGATAAACTTAAGTTACCTGTGTGTGACCTACCCTATGAATTGAGGGGATCTACACCAGTAGCTAGACTGGTGGTCTATGTGTGTTTAAGGTGCCCAGTTGTCATAAAATGACGACAGTACAAGGTGAACTTAATCGGTTTACCTTTGAAGGATATAGATGTGATCTTAGGGATGAATTGGTTATCTACCAATCGCATTCTGATTGACTGTGGGCAAAAGAGGTTGGTGCATCCGAAATCAGGAGATGAGCTTATTACATTAGCTCGGCAGGTTCAGAAAGGCTACGAGAGGGAGCTTAGTGTTATTTGATCCTGACTCAGATGGATGAAGTGAAGGATAATATCTTGGAAGAGGTACCGGTTGTGAATGAATTTCCTGATGTATTTCTAGATTGAAAGTGATGAAGATCTTTTTGAATCATTTGATAAAATGAAGTTCTTGTTGATTTGATGAAGTCAAATGAAGTCAAAGACTATTTTGTTAAAGTCAAAGGTTACTTGGTTAAAATGATAGAGTGATTAGTGAGTTTGCATCTATATGTAGGTATAATAATTCATATATCTCTGCTACATGAAGTTTCATCATTTAAAAGATTTTGAAAATGCCTCTAAACGTGTTTAATTTGTTAAAAAACCAAAGTAATCGATTAAATGGTTTTTAAGTAATTGTTTTAATTGATATTATATGAGCATTATCAGTTAAAATGTACTTAATACTT